ATATAACATAACATTACACATGTTACATAACAGAACATGTTCTGCTATATAACATGTTCTGTTTGGCTCAATTGAAAATACTTAAATACTTATGTGACCTCACAAAAACGAGGGTAACAAAAGTCTCGCGGATTTCTTGAATGCGACATTTCCAGTTAATTGGTTTTTTTATAGTGAAGGGCAATCTTTTTTTCTTCATGGCCAGGATAAGGATAACGACAGTTTTACGTGGCCACTAGTATAATTATACTGAGACTGTGCCTATCGGCAAGGCAAACCACCATCTTTTTCTACTTTTTCATGTGAACGATTAAATTTTCTCGCCCTTGCCAAAATTAGATCATATTCGGTGACCTTCGTATGTGAAAGGTTTTAGCTTCTTAGATGGTTCTTTACTTGGACAACGCACTTATTTAGTAAAAAAAATTGTCTTTATCGAACCACAAGTAATATTTGCTACATCGGCAAAGGAACAATTGGCAGGTGCATGTGCCATTTTGGTTGTTTGCCAGTAGCATTAACTGCGATTTAGGTGGTCAGTGGGCTATGGACCGCTTTGAAGAATGACTGAAAGTTCCTCAGTACTTGAGAGCGGTCAAAATCTGTTTTTGAAAAATTTCTGGAGATAGAGCGGGTTGGAGGGGGAGTCAGTGCTTGTGGAAAACAGAATATACCCGTAGTCATTTCTAAGTTTGTAATCTAAGCGGGGCAGAGCCTCAGCTGTGACGTGCTAAGTATTGCAACTTTCAACCCTCGGTTTCAGACGAAACTGTTGAAACTGGATGACAAATAAATGTCTGAGAATGATTCAGAAGCTGAATAATGGAACTATACCTAGTTGTTTGCTGTTTTGACAACTTATTTTCTATAATTATTTATGTAGCAGCTGAGGACGCGTTTGAATAGCAGGCCGAGGTTTCTGAGACATTCTGTTCAATATCCTGTTAAGTTAAAGATGAAATAATTATTGTAATGCGAATTGAGTTTCGGCTAATAACGAAAGTATAAAACTATAAAATATGCTCCAACTGGTGACGTTGAAAGGGTGAAAGGCTGAAAATATCGATTTATAAAAGTGGAAAAAATTGCATTTTTTCAAACGGATTACTCCATGGTTTTGGTCAAAAATTTGTATCGTCTTCATGTTTTGGTTTTAAGCAAAATAAGCAAAAAAGAGGCGTCTTTTGGCATTTTGCGTAGAAAACAAGCCGTTGTTGACTATGAAAACATCGATTTATAAAAGTGGAAAAATTTGCATTTTTCCAAAGGGGTTAGTCCATGGTTTTGGTCAAAAATTTGTATCGTCTTCATGTTTTGGTTTTAAGCAAAATAAGCAAAAAAGAGGCGTCTTTTGGCATTTTGCGTAGAAAACAAGCCGTTGTTGACTATGAAAACATCGATTTATAAAAGTGGAAAAATTTGCATTTTTCCAAAGGGGTTAGTCCATGGTTTTGGTCAAAAATTTCAATTGTCTTCATTTTTCGGTTTCAAGCAAAATAGGCCAAAACAAGGTGTCTTGTGGCCTTCTACATTGAAAACTAGTCTTTTGGGGCTATAAAAACACTTGAAAAAAGTCGAAAAGTTTCCATTTTTCCAAAGAGGTTAGTCAATGGTTTTGATCAAAATTTGAATTTTTTTCAACTTTTTTTGGTTTTAAGCGAAATAGGCCAAAACTAGGTGTCTTTTTATCTTCTTGATAGAAAACTAGCTTTTGTAGACTATGAAAACGACGATTGAAAAATGTCGGGAAATTTGCATTTTTTCATGGTTGTTAGGACATGGCTTTGCTTAAAAATATGCAGTTTCTTTTATTTTTTGGTTATAAGAGGAATAAACCAAAAATAGGTGCTCTGGGGTCTTCTACCTAGAAAACCAGCCTTTCTAGACTATAAAAACATCGTCTTAAAAAAATTTGCAAAACTTGCATTTTTTCCCTCGGGTGTTAGTCCACGGTTTTGGTCAAATATTTGGACATTTCTTATTTTGGGGGGTTTTTAAGCAAAATAGGCAAAAACTAGGTGTCTTTGGACCTTTTTTTTAATATAAAAAACTAGCCTTTCTAGACTATGAAAACGTCGATTTAACTTGAAAAGTCGAGAAATTTGCATTTTTCCATAGTTGTTAGTCCATGGTTTTGCTCAAAAACGTGAAATTTATTTCATTTTTTTGTTATCAGAAAAATAAACCAAAAAGAAGTGTTTTGTGGCCTTCTAGATAGAAAACTAGCCTTTCTGGACGAGAAAAATCGATTTCAAAAAGTCGAAAGATTTGCATTTTGAGACATGAGACGAGGGTCTTCCTTCGCTAAAAGAGTCACACTCTTGATCGTCAAAGCAGACACACACGGTTCCATGATGGCCGAAATCTTTGCTGTGGCAGGTAGAGTAGTATTTAGAAGGTGAAAACTTCTTAAACGCAGTCGCAAAGACTAAAAAAAGCAGGCTATAAAGAATGACTAGTCCAAATTTGGTTCCATGAATGTCTCTTTTCATTTTGGCAGGGTAACAAATGGTGAGGCTGTGGTCAGTCTAGACAACATTAACAAAGAACTACCCGTGCCGGACTGGGCAGAAAATCGCGGTTAAAAGAGACCATGACGATTTCACCTTTCTGTAAGTACAGCCAAGGGGGGGGGGGGGGGGGGGGTCAAAATTCGTCGATATCCCTGTAATAAACTTCCTATTTCCCAGTCTACAGAAAAAAAATCCATCCATTGACTTCTCTTTCTCCAAACAATAACTTAGCACCCACAACCACCCCCTTCCTATCCGTCGAAAAAATCGCTCACTACTAGGGAACACCTGACCTGAACCACCAATGGCGCCATATCCTCTTTGCCTGCCCGCCGATTTTCGCGCCTCCCCGGAAAAAAAAGGACGCCTGATTGCAAGTGACTCAAATGATCATTATCATGTCACGTGCCATACACTGGAAAGTGTAATCTATTAGGGGCAGTGTTGGCGATTCCAGCGCTTTAGCATCATACAGACTGAGATTTAAAAAAGCCTGAAAAATCAATTTACCATGTTAATAGTTTAAATATAACCGAATAGGGTAAATATCGTGGAGTATCATAGAGAATATAATATATCGAAAACCGTTTCGCCTCGTGATATCACATATGTCTGAACACGTTGAAATACAACGAACAAAAGCAACGTTTCTGTTAAAAATAAGAAGTAAATCAGAAGAATTGTTGTATTTCATTTATTGATATAGAAAAAGGTTTTATTCCGTCGATCATTAGCCTATTTACAAACAATACCATTAATACTAACAAACGTCAAGAAAATACTGCATTGTCTTTCGTGGTACACATGGAATGAGAAAAACGTAGAATATGTTTGGAATTTTGCTTCTTGACAGTTCATATTTTCTAATTTATAGCTCCACTACTTTATTTCATATCTTTTACTTACAGTACGTAAAATACTATGCCATGCTCTCCAAATATGGTAACTGCACGCGTCTGCTCAAAATTAAAAACAAGCTGAAAATCGGTTCTTTTTCCAAATAAGGTTGGAGAGAATTCTCGATATTTTGTGGGCGTTTTCATGTTAAAACAGTTATTCCACTCGCGCTTGTTGGATATGAGGCACTTCGTTGGCTATCTACCATCTCATATCCAACGCGCACTTGTGGAATAATTTTTAAATAGACCATACAAATGACGGCATGGAGGGCATGTTATAATTGCTCATGTCCCATAATGGCTAAGCCAATCAAAACTTTAGAATTGCATTATCCAATAATTCAGTTTTGAATACAGTGTAGCACCAAATTTATGCGGGTTCAAATTTTTGCGATTTTTCCAGCCATCCGCAAAAATAAGTTCCCGCAAATAAAAATAGAAAGAGTAGAGACCATGGACAATTGATCCACCTTCAGGGGTAGACCAGTCCAACTGAAAGTTGCTGTTGCATTTTCAAAAATCCACGCTCGACGTAAATGGAATGAAACGTTTCAGATGATTTTTTTTGTTTATAATCAAGCATTGTTGTTCCGTTTTTTCCTTCGCTGGTTCCAACGATTTCTGACGTTTTGGTCTCGGTTTGGCTACGTTTACACAATACCGGACAGCTTTTCGTGCCGACACGAAAACAACAGCGCAGAACAGAAAAGAACAACATAGAACAACAGCATAAAAGCCAGGGTTTTCAACAAGAGCCGGTGGCCGGCGAACTGAATTCTCCGGCGATTTCACGTGAACTCGCCGCCTACTTTTCTTTGGAAATTACCCCGATTTCAAAAGAGCTTTCATGTTCTGTCACTGAATAAAAGAGCCAAAAGTTAATGATGTCTGTGTTCTGTTCAAGCAGTATAATTTTTGCTCTAGAATCCCGGAAATGCATTCTAAGATGCCCAGATTTCAAACTTTTCCCAGAAACTCGCGCTTTTGTCGCGTGTTTTTTTCCTTCTCAACCTACTCCAAAGCTTTTGCTACCCAATTAAAATCTTATTGAAAACCCTGGTCAAGCAGAACAAGTCGTTAACACACATCGAACATAGTGCCGGAGCAGTTGGTTCTCTAAATCCCCGTCCTCACCCCTGAATACTTACTTTTGTCTCAGTGGGCTCCAGTCCTCTTTTCTTCTTCTTATTCACTTCAGTGATGGTCCGAATAGCTGTTGACACTACGCCAAAGTGTGTTGCTCAGAACCTATCCGATATGCGACGCTTGAGATCGGTGCGGCACAGTTTCGCTCCGTCACAGAAATCGCGCCTAAACTGCCGTTCTTATGTCTAAACAGAAGCCCTATCCGATATGATTTTCGTGTAGGCGCAAAAGCCATTCTGTATGGTGTAAAGATAGCCTTAATCACGCCTAATGGAAAGCAGCCCAAATCCTCTTTTGCATGAAACACTGATGAAATACCAAACAAACAGCTTCTGTGATCATCCGTGTCTTTCCCTATTATGTTTATTCTTACATTCAGCCCTCTTAGGGTAAAATTTATTACAGTTTAAACTGACCTGTCACCACCAAAACTCCGTACAAATTACCAAATGTAAGTTTGAATGGAATATGAGGGTATGGTTTCCGTTATGATTCCTGCTTTCTTATCGATGATATGGAAAGTCATATTTTTTGCTTCAGTGTTCAGAATCACCATGACTGTGTTTAACTGCGGTGTCACAAACCCAATAAACTCCAGTGATGTTTGTGATGAAGATGCCACTCCAACTCTCCGTGATCCTGGAGGCACAAATTTGCTAAAATGACCGAGGTGATAATACATGGGCTGTAAAAAAATCAAAATCCAATTAAATTAATTAATATATGTACGGATACTGCGTCACGTTCTGAGCTAAACTATGGAAAACAGCGAAAGTTACCAAGAAGTGTTGTTATATAGCTGGAATTTTTTTCCCAACAGCGCAAGCTCTCATTGACTACTTCGAGGTCACATGACATCTAACAATGAAACTGTTCCCCTCCAAAATCTCTGAGCGGGCAACATTGCAAAATCTATGACGTCAGAGGGCAACAGTGCACTGTAACCCGCGAATGATCGACGACCGCTGTTACAGCGAGGTTTAATAAATTTCGAAGGACCAGTCACTAAGTGTTTGGTATTAAATGAAGAAAAAAGGGTCCCATGGTTTGTAACATTTTTCCTTGCATTGGTCCATTTGGATTCCTAAATATTTCAAAAAGGTGGCCAATTCATAAAAGACTACTCCCATGTTCATAACCTGGGGCACCTTCTTCTCATTTCGGACAAATTTAGGGTTCCCTTTAACGGGTATTAAATGAAGAAAAAAGGGTCAGACCCATTGCTAGTGCCATGTGATAACCGTGTTCGATACAGCTTTTAATAGAGTGTTTTCACATGACGTCACGGCAGCCATATTGGTGTCCCAAACCAATAAAACGGCGGCCATGTTGGAGTCCCAAACCAGTCCCCTGGGAGTTGAACTCTTTTCTTATGCAAACGCTTTCGTTTGTTACAATAAATTTGCATATATGCTGTCCACGTGAGAGAAAACACTCTATAGTCTAGTCCTGTCTCCTTTTAAAGATTATTTACTCTCAACCGAAACCAAAAAATTTCAAACCCACCTGTTTATAGAATTGTCCACTCTCAGCGTCAATAATAATCGGCGAATCAACAAAATTCTTGACCCAGTTTGGTCCTCCTTCCATGTTGAGTGCCAGGTTCCAGTCCACCCATCCAGCAGACCAGTGCGAGAGATTCTACAAAGTTAAATGTTGATAAAGTAATTAAAAAACAAACAAACACATAAACATACAAAAACGCAGACTAAAAACATACATAATATTCAGTTCACAACGGGTGAATGGCGTAACACGGGGTAACAAGGGAAACAAGGGGTAACACAGGGGTAACAACAGTAAGAAAGAGTAAAAAGTGGTAACAAGGGTAACAAGGGGTAACAAGAGTAACAAGGGGTAACAAGGGGTAACAAGAGGTAACAGGGGTAACAAGGGGTAACAAAGGGTAACAAGGGTAACAAGGGGTAACAAGGGTAACAAGAGTAACAAAGGGTAACAAGAGTAACAAAGGGTAACAAGAGGTAACAACAAGTAACAAGGCCAACAAGGAGTAACACAGGGTAACAAGGGGTAACAAAGGGTAACAAGGGGTAACAAGGGGTAACAAGGGGTAACAAGGCTAACAAGGGGTAACAAGGGGTAACAAGGAGTAACAAGGGTAACAAGGGGTTACAAGGGTAACAAGGGGTAACAAGAGTAACAAAGGGTAAAAAAAGGTAACATGGGGTAACAAGGGTAACAAGGGCTAACAAGAGTAACAAAGGATAACAAGGGGTAAAAAGGGAAAACAAGGGTAACAAGGGGAAACAAGGATAACAAAGGGCAACAAGGGGTAACAGGGGGTAACAAGGGGCAACAAACGTAACAAGGGGTAACAAAGGGTAACAAGGGGTAACAACGGGTAAAAAAGGGAAACAAGGGGTAACAACGGGTAAAAAGGGGTAACAAGGCGTAATAAGGGGTAACAAAGGTAACAAGAGGTAACAAGGGTACCAAGGAGTAACAAGGGCTAACAAAGAGTAACAAGGGGTAACAAGGAGTAAGAAGGGATAACAAAGGGTAACCAAGGGTAACAAGGGGTAGAAAGGGTAACGAGGAGTAACAAGGGGTTAGAAAGGGTAACAACGGTAACAAGGGGTAACAAGGGTAACAACAGGTAACAAGAGGTAACAAGGGTACAAAGGGGTTACAAGTTTAACAAGGGGTAACAAGGGTAACAAGGGGTAACAAGGGTAACAAGGGGTAACAAGAGGTAAGAAGGGATAACAAAGGGTAACAAGGGTAACAAAGGGTAACAAGGGTAACAAGGGTAACAAGGGTAACAAGGGGTAACAAGGGGTAACAAGGGGTAACAAAGGGTAACAAGGGTAACAAGGGTAACAAAGGGTAACAAGGGTAACAACGGGTAACAAGGGTAACAAGGGGTAACAAGGGGTAGCAAGGGGTAACAAGGGGTAACAAAGGGTAACAAGGGTAACCAGGGTAAGAAAGGGTAACAAGGGGTAACAAGGGTAACAAGACGCTGTGTGAGCGTATATTTGGGCGTGGTCGCACTACGGGTATGATACTTTGAACATGCCTTATTGCAGCTAAAGAACTGTCATCATATCTTACCAGAGAAGACAAATCCTTTACTCCACTTGTTTGCTGAACCACACAGCTTATACAGTATGTCCAAATCCACAACAAAAATAGTGTCATTTCACGACAACATAGGACATAAGTGGTTACAGCCCGGAGAGTAAGGTTTATCTCAGCTCCACTGATACTGACAGATGTGTTTTCACACCCATAACTTTGTACAGTGTACTCCGGTTACTAACAAGGGCAAATAAAGTTCCTTAAGTCCAGTATCCACAAGGATTAATAAGAGAGTAACACATTGCATAAACTGCTATAGGGCAGTTTAAAGGAACATTGGTAACTATTAACATTTGATATACTACAATTTTCAACATTGCTTGAGAAAAGATGAGGTTCAAAGGTTGCAATATGTACACCTTTAAGTTATATATCCTCATTCCTATACAGAGTCTGAAAACATTGTACTAATTTATGCATGGATGGTATTTCCAACAATACACATGTCCCTTCACTATGACTGTTATGATACATATCTCTAGCGTGAGAATCAAATACATTATATACCCCAGCCTCAGTGCTGTAGATACCAACACCAATAATTGCCACCGTTAAAATGAATGAGTTGTAGTTCAGTGCCAAGAGTGTTTGAAATGCTGTAACCTGTGAGTGGCATATACAGTAGTGATGGATGTTACAAGTATAACTGTCACTGTATTCAAGGTGGAAAAATTGCTTAAACACTGTAACCATTCCTGGCAATTCTGTTAACATTGATATAGATTGTCGTGCAAGCAGTGACAGACAAGAATATAATTGAATACCAACAATCATTATTTGAGTCATATCATCAACTGAAGTCATCTTTGTTATCTTACTGTAAATTAAAGCGCACAGACTCATTGCGACACATCGTTGTCCACCATTTTCCCCAAATCCTGTAACTTCCTTGACAGTATGGAGCATTAATTGTTTTTGTAGAATCTACATAAACTGAAGGTCCGGGAATCTTCTCTATATCAGTACAAAGCTTAAATTGGCCAAAATTAACCCGGTGATTCAAACTGTTTTAAGCACTATAAAATGGATAATTACATGTACAGAGGGGCAAATTCTTACTTAGAAGCCTATTTGGATATCTCATTCCACCTAAATCGCCTGTGCTCTGCTGCTTGGACGACAGATACACCTTCCCTCGTTTACGAACTAGTTTTGTAGTTGTCCCTTAAGTAAAAACCTCACACTGTTACTGTTACTTCTGTACCTGTTTAAGTGTAAACCTTTTCTACTTTTAACGTAACAATGAATTTCAGACGACAATGGTGTATTTTTCCGAAAACTCTTCCATAAAAAAAGTGTCACTTTCCGTGTTTTCTGTAACAAAGATTTTAATTTGTTCATTTGCAGTCTGCTAGGGGCATGACGGTAACCGGTCATTTTGTTCCATGGTCAGATCGTTGATATCGTTCCAATCAATAGTCAGATCGTTCCATAAAATAGTCAGTTCGTTCCACAAAAAAGTCAGTTCGTTCCACATACGAAAAGTCAAGTAAATCTTTCTAAATTTGTTGAGTGAACTTTATCGAGAAGAAAAAGGTTTCGTTCATACCACAAGCTGATAAAATAATAATCGATCCAAAGTCGGTTCGATCCATCCTAAATCGTTTGAAAACAAACAAGAGACGATTTCAACCAGCCACGGGCTTTAACATTTAAACCGCCGCCTTTGAGAGTTTTGAGCTAGAATCGATCGATAGTTTTGAAAGATATAGCACAACAAGTAAAAGCTATGCCGCTCTGAAGGTACAGTATTTCGAAGCGCTTGTAACCTAAATATTTCTTTGCAGCGGCCGATTTATGAAAATTTTGAAAATAACGCGAGTTTCGAATTACAATCTCGATTTTATGGTAATTTGTCATGCCGAAAATATAATGGACTAACCTGGTTGAAACCAATGAAATTGTAAGTTCTCTTATAAATAAATTTCAAACGACGAGATCTCAATTCAACTTCTTTTATTTTCTCCACAACACAATTTTTCTTCTGTACAACTAGCTCATTTACCTTCTCTTGTCGTCACCTCGCTGCCATCAAAACACTAACACAAAACTTGCTGATAATGCAAAATCCCGACGCACAGCATCGTATGAAAAAACACAACACGCAATACAAAAACAAGTACATTAACCGTCACCCTGCTAAACAAAATTGAAATAATAAAAAGAATTGTTGCAGTTATCATAGTAGTTCCAAAAGAAGCCTCAGTCTCTTTTGGTTTCAATTGTTGACAATCGTCTCTTCCTTCATCGGAACAGATTTTTATCACGGGCAACTCGTTGTGCTCCGTAATGCAAAAATCAAAATCACTTTTTTACACGGTGATAACCAGCTACACAAACCTTGCGACTCTCAACTTGTTAAACATTTCTCTGTTAAAACTCTTATCCATTTTACACGTACACTCCTGATATTCCGATTTGTTATTACGTCTATGGGGTCCATGAGTCTTTCATGTCATTGAATGTCTTGATAATTTCCTTTGTTTTTCTTTGAGTTCGCGGACCAGCCCATTCCGAAAACACTCAGTGTTATTGTTTTAGTGTGGGCCTACCGCGAACAGTGTGTGCATTTGTAAGTTTAACCCGGGATAACATGATTGAACAATATATTAACACGTTCCCCGAAACGCCACGGCCAAATATTATCCAAACTGCTTCTCACTGCTGCTTCGAAAAATTTCGGATCAAACGATATCCAGATCGTCCCTCATTGGATCATCCACTCGACCTAACAAAATCGACCAATCACAAAAATGGACATAAATGATGTCTTAGGAAACATGCAATTAAAATTGTCTTTCTATGATTGGTGCATTTCGATCCTCTCGTCAAAAAAATGTCAGACGTCAATCATCTTAGCGGACCTCTTAGGAAACGAAAGTTTTCTTCAACGGGTTCAAAAGGTCATTGTTTATGATTTGTGATTGCTGGATTTCGATCCGTTTTTTGTGTTTCTGTGTTTCAAGGTTCGTCACTTGTGATCTTATCGTGACCAAAACCCGACGTTAATATTCCAAATATTTTTGATAGATTTCATCCCTGGACTTCGGACTTCCAAATTTCGTAGAGGCAAAAATACTGAAGATTCAAATTAACTTTTGAGATAGTAAAAGTGCGATTAAGTGCCGTGTGCTAGCAGAGCTTTCTTTCCCACGTGCCTCTTACCTTGTACAAGACGTTCGCATGGCAGACACTCGCCTCACTTCGCTTGTTTACTTGCCTTGTTTACGTTAGCACGTATTGCGTGCCTAATGCACATTTGCGTCAAAACAAGCCGTTTCCATTACTCTATTTGGGCCACGCCCAAATAATAAGTTCATAGTGTCAATTTGTATGGTGCAGATAAGACAAAACTATTAAAAGTAATTACGACTCAGTTAGCGGCGGGTGTGATGTAATCCCAGTGGGAGGGGAGGGGAGGGAAGGGGGGGGTATATGATCAAAAGATTTTTTTAGCCTGCGGGTAAGCTCTCTCATTTGGGCGAGCGTAGCGAGCCGCGAGGGACCGAGGTAAGGAGTGCTTTTTCTCCCCTGCTCCCCGCTTTAACGTCTCCTCTCGCGTGCCTCTCGCGCTTCTACTTTTCAAGGTATCCCCCAAATGGAGAGCTTACTCGCAGGAGTTTTTTGGTTTGAAAATTTCGATTCCGGCAATTTTATGGCGAGGAAATTTTGGCAAGTATTTTTTGGGGTGGCTTGATTTAAGTAGAGATTATTTTGGGTTTTCAAAACAATCTGAAGATTCGAGTTGAAAAGGAAGATGTTCTTGTGTATCTCGAGTGATGCTAAAATGACTATCAGATGCGGAAAAGACAACTTCAGATGGCATACACACTGTATGATGATTAAACAAACAGAAACATTCAAATTCTAATGGATTTATTTTCGTCTAATATCCAATGCTTTATTGAAACTTTAGACGCTCGCAAATTCGACATGATATTTTTAGGGCGTTATCTTTTGGTCCAGGGATTTTTTTCGGGTTTAGTCGGAAGGGTTAGGAGTTAAAAGAAGACAAGTAGTACTAACTGCAACTGGCGTCGACATCCTGCTCTTGAAGTTTCCGTCTGCGGTGTACTCTTAAGATATGCACTACATTATGACCTTCAACACTCTTAAAAGCGTGGCACAGTATTATAATAAACAAAGATAAATAAAGTTCATTTTGTTACAGTAACAGTAACAGTAATCCCATACTAGTGTGTTAAGTTTGTTATTGTAACATGCCATGAAAACAACGCTTTCTTTGACAGTTTTACTTCTCATTCAAGTTCATGGATAGAATATCTCTTCAGGGGTTGCTCTTCCTCATTGGTTGTTTTTTCCAAACGTTCGTCACTGGGTCACCGTCTGTTGAGCGCGTCTGTAATTTCACCAACAACTTGACGACAGCAAGTTGTCACACAAAAGACCTAAAGACCGACCTGCAACGTTACGTAAAAGAACCAAAGCTCCTCGTCGCATTGTAAGTCAAAAACTTTTGTTTTTATACCTCCCATCTTTAAGAAAGAAAGCTTATTGACTTCAAACTTGGCCTGAAAATGGTTAGTTTTCAGTTTAGGGACCCCACTTGCAGATGGAACACAATAAGATGGAGGAAGGGTGTGAAACAGGAAAGAGTGCGAGACAACGACAGCAAACATGAAACGTCTCTCACTGGGGCAGCAAATTGCCTTAGCGTCGTTCTTTAATTTTAGCAACGATGTCTTCGCAAATCCTCTTATCTTATTTTGAAATTTTTCGCTTTGTTCCAGCGTGGATAGTATGAATCAGAATCAGAGTCCATTTGAAGAAATGTTACTCGTTACATTTGTAGGATTATATCGCATACGGGATTAAGTCAACAAATTTCTGGACTCGACTGTATCATTTTTCGTTCCGATTTCATTTATGGCAATTCAAGGAATCTGATCAGATTACACCGATTCTAGGATAATGAAAAAATCTAACGTTGGTGACCCTGATTTCTTTTATACGCAGAACAATCGTAGATGACAAAGCAAAAATTATCCCTGAAGAAACGTTCGCCAACTTTTCAAATTTGACATTTCTGTAAGTATCTTTGATTAAATTTTTCTATGTCAGAGCCCTGGGTTAAAATGCCCTAACATATTTACCCAACGCTTGATAGCCAGCATGTTGGATGTGATATCCAAATCTGGTCCCAGATCTCAGAACACTAGTCAAGAATGCTAAGTTGTGGCCTGCAAAACAGAACAGCTGTATTGGAAAAGGGAGTGTTGGCTGCGTTTAAGAGGAGATGCCTACTGTTCATTAGCGGGAATGCAGTTTCAAAATAATTTGGTATTTCTTTAACCTTACCAACTCTAAGAAATCTGGGGAGAAAGGAGGAGGTTACTGAGCTCCAAATGGTACTCTACTGTAGTCGTTTAAAACAAAGTTCATACTTATAAAACATCTGTTGAGTCAAAAAAACTGGTGTAAATTTTCGTCGTAAATTGGCTTTGTATAGGATAGAGACATTTTCAACTAAAAGCGTTAATACAACCCCGCCGAAACAGTAGGCCCGAATTAGAACTCCAATGAAGCAAAGATTCGGCTTTGATGAAAACACAACGATAATTTGAGAAACAAGAAGTTAAATTACCATAATGTTTCCATAATGTTTTATTTCTAAGGGAGGTCAAGATTAAATACCTGAGGAACTGGACGGGGAATTTGTCTAGCGAAGTACCTCAGCTTCAAGAAATTTCATTTTCCGTAGATGAAATTTTTATACCACCAGCTCATGTACTTGAAGTACCTACTCTTCAAAAGATTACTGGCCTGACATGGAGTGAAGCTTGCACCAATTGCACCTTGCTGAAAAATGAAAGTCATCACAACGTCACGCTTATGAAAAAAGGAACTTTTGATATATACCCTGAGTCAAGCTGTCGTGGCTCTCGATACAAAGTCAGTGATGTGACACGCGTGTTTGCTGAACACGGATTCCTACCCGTGTGTGTATTGGAAGATGCCAAATGCTTTGATTCTGACGTGAAAGAAACACCCTTGCATCGATGCTGGAAAAGCGCGAACAGCGTTCTTTATGTGGAGTATATCTTGGCACCATTCATACTGATATGCAATTTCATAGTATTTACTACAACACTGACCTCAAAGACTCTCAGAAGAGTCCCGTCGATAGTTCTGGTGGCAAATTTGGCTATGAGTGATTTTCTTGTGGGTATATATACTCTTTCAATAACTTCATCACGTCATGCAATGTCTTACCAAAGGTTCTACAGCGTGATGGATTATCTTTGTCCTTTGCTGGGTTTCCTGTGGTGCTGTGGGCAGATGTCCGCTGCCCTGTCATCAGTGCTGTTGACAACAGAGCGATACATCGCAATAATTTTCTCCATGAGACCAGACGTTTCTTTTACATCAAAACCTTGCATGTGTGGTGTGCTTGTTTCCTGGATTATTACTATAATTGTCGCTTCGCTCCCGTTTCTGAGCATTGGAACATACACAAGTACAACATTTTGCCTCCCTATACAACCTAACAGAGGAATGAGTTCCTTTGCCTACAGTGCGGGCCTTATAGCTCTTGCATTCCTTCTCTATACCATCACCTTACCAATGTACGTTCATATTTTCCTTTTTGTCAAGAAGTCAGGAAATCAGACTGGTATAAAGAGAGATGGAAAGTTGGCAAAAAAGATTTTAATTTTGATTATTAGCAATTTATTTTTCTTTCTTCTCCCAGTTTTCATTGGTCTATTGTGGGTATTTGCCGGGAAAAGTTTCGGTAATGTTTCTTTGTCAACGAGGGAAATTCTTGTTGGTTCATTTACGACTCTTTGCTTAAGCATCAACTCATTTTTGAATCCCTTTCTTTATGCATTTCGAAACAGGCGATTTCAGTTTGCGATCAAACGTAGGTACTACCGTGTCAAAAACCGCAACATAGTAGCGGTTCAAAATGTCAGCTATCATTCAGAACTGAGAACAATGAAAGTGCGTAGTGTAGACAAAGCTATGTAACAGAAAAACATGTGAAGAAGACGTAATTTAATTTAATCTGAATTTAACTTAATCCATTTTTACTGCATACAAGTCATTATAGTCAGACACTAAGAGAGCAGCGGGGAAGGACTGAGTAGGGAACAGAAGAACCATACGAGCTAGTCCACCTACATCAGTAAAGAAGCCTCTGCTGTTAGTAAGACAAGTACGTTGACGTCGTTGACATGAACTTGGTCCATTTACCACAACGTGAAGCTAAAATATCTATTTAGTCGGCTTCTACCTTAACAACAACAACAACAATAATAATAATAATGGTTTATTAACAGTGTATCCACCTACTGGCTCTTCACCTGTTAAAAAAACTACAATATAAAAAATAAAAAACTATAATATACTACAACAACAAAAATTGAAATCTACAATATAAAAAGCAATAAGATCGGACTATAAAAGGATATTGTATAAAAAATAAAAATGTAATAAAGATTAGTAATAGTAATACAACCCTGTATGCAATTTACAAACTATTTACAAATGTTATTTAATACATAGGCATTAACTTCCCTACAGTATACTTTGAAATCGCTACAGTTTCTTATATTTGCCGGAAGGACATTAAAAAACTTGACAGCAGAGTCTTGAAAGGTGCCCCTCTCCATTGGTATAATTAATCTTGTTGCTGCTCCTGACCGCAAATATCGCAGATGTTTAACTGTATCTGAATGGTAAGTAAGATGGCCAGCTGGGGGAGTACAAACCCTGGTGAACGAGTTTGAGAACGTGGAAATTGCGTTAGCAAATCTTTTTTTTTTCTAGGATATGAACCTTACTTGTAAGAAACGTTTATATCCCTTGCCAAGTAAAAACGAAAATAAATATTAATTTAATGCACGGTAACAGGCAGCAACGGTGAGGACTTTATATTTATTAAAACAAGATACCTGATACACCTGATACACTTGTGTAAGCGTTTCTCAGACCGTGTTTTTGGGACGAAAGGGATTCCGTCACCTTCCCAGTTTGCTATGAAACTTGGAGGGTTTTGTTAAAAGCGTACCCTAAATTGTCTAAGCCAAGAGTCACGAGATGATGTTAATACGTGACATTAGATGGCTGTCCTCTTGTATTTCGTTAGGATAAAGAGTTCCCAACGCACCAAAATTAGTGAACTGATTATTTTAAAGGTTTTAAATTGTCGTGATTTATATAGACTGCGAGCAGTCTCTCATTTTTCTTGAAATCGCGCCGGCTGAGATAAGAACTGGACTAATTCTAAAAAAAAAAAGGCCGATTGCGAGCAGCCTATGATTTATAATACCGTCTTGGTTTACTTCATGACTGAAAAATTCTGAAACGGGGTAAAGAATAAATCCGAATGACTTGAAAGGTGCTCTAAGGTCGACTTATCAATACGTCGGGGAAAAAAATGTTACAAAATCAGTAGCATAATTTTTGTAAAAGGTCATAAGTTTTAGTGACAATCTTCCGTTGTGATTGGTTCTCCTAAAATTGCTGTAAACAAAAGTAACTGTGATAACTATATTATTGGTTGAAAATTTTCCTGTTTTAAATTTTGTTAGTTAAAGATCACGTGATTACACTTTCATTAAAATACAGAAATAAGTAAAAAAGAAGAAAAAGAACTGATGGGGGGTAATGTAATTGATTTTTCACCTCGCACTTTAAAAGCCTCAAATGTCAATTTACTCTATGTTAGTTTCCGTTTTTGTTAAGCTAAGTAAACAATATCTAACGTGCATTATACTTCCCAGGAAATAAATCGGAATATAATGAGATTCATATTTGTCACTGGTTTTAACATATTCCCAAACATACAAGATTGGTAAAGACCGCTTTTTCCTCTATTCATTTCTTTAAAATATTTTATGTAAGGTTAAAACAAATCTAAATTATTTTGCTATAAGCTGAACTTTCAATTACACAGATAGGAGATCCGTTTTATTATCCAGGTAGTAGAAATGGACAAACCAAGGAATATATCCATTTTAGATTCAATTATTCTATATGTTATAATTACGAAAAATTTATCAACATAACATAATCATCCTGAGGAAGAAGTTCAGTATTGTTTACCCGTCATATAAAGTACGAAGTAATATAACTTCCTACTGTCACAAGAGTTCCTAGTAAATAAAAAACATATTCACATAGAGACAACTCACTCGACAAAATGTAACGTTTCTTTAAATTAATTCTATTAATAAACATTCTATGTGCTCAGTCTAGGGTTAGAACATATTGGCACAATTGATGGGTGCAAAAGCATTAATTCGTTGAACTACCATTCTCCCCTAGAATGGACAACTTTTTCAATTAGTGCTTTAACTTTATTCTTTCTTTTTGTAAAGTTCACTTCAGGAGTCATTTCTTACTTTGTATGTATTACAAATATCAATCGGCGTTTTAACCAATCCGTCATTTATCTCCCACTGGCTGTTTTCATTAAAATTTTCTGTGTGTTTTAAGTCCATCTAACCGTGTTTTTGTTTACATGTCTTTATTATACCTAATTTTAATTAACAGAAACTTCAGTATATGAAAGCAAAAGGTATATCGGCGGTGGCTTTTTGCTATCACTTCAGTTCCAATGAGAAGTCAAAATATCGGATGTTATTAGAGGCTGAAACAAATCTGATTCAAATTTGTTTTCTTTATCGAAACTTCCTCATACCTAACCTCACGAAACGTGTTCTTTAGTAGAGAAAAATAATTTTAAATTTCTCTTCACAAGATTGATTCTAAACACCCAAGAACAAGCAGAAAAAAAGGCATGGCTAACAACACATCAACTCAATATCAAATCTTGTCATCTTCTTCTTGCTTTCATCTTCCGGATCCTTCATTCCAACAAGTTTCAGAACGATTTCTCATGAATCTTTTTACAGCCATCATCAATATTATTGCCTCTCCCTTTGCTGTCGTTTCAAACCTTTTTATTGCTGTTGCTGTTTTCTATAATAACCGACTTCGAACACCGTCAAATCTTCTGATAGGTTGCTTGGCGCTCTCAGATGTCTTGGTTGGCCTTGCAGTTCAACCAGGTTATATTACCTACAGACTCATGGAAAACCAACATCGATCAGTTCCTTGTTTTGTTCGTATTGTGTACTGCAATGCATTCTATATTTGTTGTGGAGTGTCTTTTATGACCCTCGCGGCTGTTAGCTATGAGCGGTTTGTGGCGGTCCGACTTCAAGCAATGTACAATGGTGTGTTCTCTCCAAGACGAGTTATGAAGTACATGGCGGCTATCTGGTTGCTGAATCTCCTACTGACAAGTTTGCAATGGGCGGGTATAAACCAAGTTTCCAGGGGCGTGCATTTGATCGTATGGTTTTTGTGTCTTTTGGTCTCTGGAATTGCACACTTCAGAATTCTGATAGTTTTGAATCGGCATCGTCGTCAAGTATCCTCGAAAAATCAACTACCCATTGACCAGGTTCGCAGACGAAGAGAAGAGAAACTTAGCAGAAGCATCTCATTCATCGTTGGAGTTTACTTTCTCCTTAATTTGCCTGTTTTATTTGTAACAGTATATCACCAGATTTTAGAACAGGACATTATAACCTATAACCACTATAGTTGGTCGGAAACCCTTGCTTTTCTCAATTCTTGTACAAATCCACTTCTTTGCTTGTGGAAGAACAGACGAATTCGTCAAGGGGTCATGTCTCTAATGGGTACTCCCCGTATTCTTTCTCGTAAGTAGAACAAGATTTTAAAAAAGCCGTTGCAGTTCACTGTTGAAAAACATTGACATTTCAAAGATGTTCCTGTTTATTAGTAGTAAGTCCCGTTCTCTTAGCCATAACTAAAATACAACTAAACTTATTTATTTTTAAGGCAAGGCAGCTTGTTTCTTGTCTCAACATTCTATTTGTTGCCATTAAAGAGTACGTGCCATAAAAAATGTAACATGTGACCCGATTAGCAGATAGGCTTTCTGGTTATCCCTTTCAGTTGGCCTAAATGGTGTGCATGGCAACTTGCACTGCTGTTACGAAAATACATTGGCAACTAAAGAACACAGTGTAAGCGTCTACTTGCGTCCGCAATACGGTTATTCAAATAAAAGAAACTTTCACAGTTCATAACCTAGCCTGCTCCACAGGCAGAACTTAACTTCTGGTTAAGTCCCTCTGCGAAACAGCCCGGAAATAGTTGTTGTGGGCCCCGACTTGTGTGTACGCCCTATGATTGCTCTGAAGGAAAATTCAAAACGCACTTCCGGTACTGAATTCGTTGAGTCTGTTGGGGGCCCAGAACAAGGATATCAGCCTGACTGCTCATGAGCAGACGTTACTATAGTAACCTGGGTTAGATTCACGTCTGAATAACTGCATAAGAGAAAGTGCTTCTTGGTAACTGGCGCTAAATCTAACTGCAAGGAGACACAATGGGCGTAAATAAATTTTACGCAATTGAAATGTGGCGAGAATTTTTAATGTCTTTTTTGACTCATTTCACTGAAAACTTGAAACTGTAACAGTGGTATCTTGATATGGCCTAATTTGGTATTCTTGCGTTTAAAAAAAACTTTGTATTTCATTTTAAAATAAGTTCTGACCGGTTGAAGGTTTTTTGTAGACAAGTGCTGCTTCAGGCAGTAAAACACAACTCAGCTACGTCTCACATGGGCACATGTATGTAAAGTCAGAACTAGAACTAAAAACATGGCGGGTCCTACACACATGTCATATATAGCCTCCAGGCCCTTACGGTTCCAACCGGCTCGCGGGCTCAGAGCAATATAATACCAACATTTTTACTAATCGTTTAGGATGAATATGTATTCTGTCTTCGGCAGATATTTGGTTAAATTTTTACCTTTTTATTTAATTGCAAATTGGGAGGACCGTTTTTATATAAAATTTCGTGTTTGTTAGTATTTTTCACATGAAATACGTTCATCGTAATCAGTATTCCATTGTTGCAGTTATTTACATATTACCAGTGAGGCTAAATTCAAAACCCATATCTGACTTTTTAGTTTGCTGAGTTTTACCAGGTATAAAGGTCCTTACACGTGAATAAAGTTGCGCAGTCAAATGAACAATATACCTACTACATATTAATGAGTTTTTGAAGTATAGCGGATGCGACTGTTATGTGGTGAGGTTTAAGTGAACTTTCTAAGGGTTCCATGTAAAATTCAGACAACTGTTCGAAAGGGGAATAACTTGGTGTCATGGCGAATATGAAAATGAATACTGAATATCTGTTGATGTCATTAGAAGTACTGAAATAAGAGTCACGTCGCTATCAATTAATAAATGAATAATTTTATTAATTAATTACTCAATGGCACACGGATTTAACAAAGTTAATTTGACACAATGAAGCTGTCAATAATCAGGGAACAGACCTACTGAAGTTTTGCTGTCTTTTTGTGTACATGAGTTCTTTCATATTTTTGAAATCACGTCTTTAAGTTTAATTTTTGAACGATCTGTGTGCTAAGTGCAATATATACTACCGATTACAACAGATTTTTTTAAACTCTGTCTCGATCCCTTTACGAATTCGTCGATTTTTCCAACAGCAGATTAAAGGATTCGTGCAAGAGTTTAAAAAAGCCAGTGTTTCTGTCCAGCTGTAGTGGTTGTAAGTCTTGATGTCTTGCTGTAAAATCTGGTGGTAGATTTTTGCGAACAAAAACGGTGTGTTAAAAAGGAAATAAATTCCCACAACGACCGAGATGTTTCTTGTAAGTTTGACTTGCCTATGCCTACGCACAAGTTCAGTAAAAAGTTGATGGCTTTGTACTTGGCAGCGGTGTCGACGCAAAACAAAAACAATCCCAATGTTTGCTGCCCCAGAGACCAGAACACAGAAAAACCACAAAATCAACTGAATGCCCTTCCATATTTTGCTTATTCCTGCCCATTGTAGATTGGTCAACAAAGTATTCAGAGTCCAAATAGCCACCACATATTTAAGGACTCGTCCTGACGAGAAAACATCGTTGTACCTTGTCTGCAATCGCACAGCCACAAATCGCTCATAGCTGACAGCGGTCAGTGTCATAAAAGACACCCCACAACAAATATAGAAAGAACTGGAGTATAAAATTCGAACAAAGCATGGAACTGACCTATGCTGGTTTTCCATGAGTCTGTAGGTAATATAACCTGGTTGAACTGCAAGGCCAACCAAGATATCTGAGAGAGCCAAACAACCTATGAGAAGATTTGACGGTGTTCGAAGTCGGACATTGGTAAATATGACGACTGCAATGAATGAGTTCGAGATCACAGCGAGAGGAGAGGTAATGATATTGATGACTGCAGTTACGAGATTCATAGTAAAACGTTCGGAAACGTTTTGGAAAAAAGGATCACGCAGATGGAAACAAGATGAAGGCGGTGGTAAGACTATAGTCGAAGAATTGTTGGCCGCCATAATGATGATGATGATCAGTAGGCCGTCGACTATATTGTGTTGAAAAACGTTTGTCCACGATATTTGGCACAGGTCATTTGTTTTAATACGTTTAATCTATTTTCTTGGCTTTTGTTGACGTGAAATCCAATTAAAAAATATACACCTGCCACTCTTACTTGAAAAAAAAAATCCTTAGCAGCCTATCCTCGAGTTATGGAATGAACTAAGATCACTAGACTGAATGATTCGAGAAAGTTCCTGACTCGGAAAGCTCTCTTTTTAAAGTAACGTTAGATCATTCTGGAAAGATTTTCTGTGGATGCTATGCCATAGGTTTTTACACCACATTGTGTTTTGTTGCATCATGCAATCAGCTTTAACAAACATTTTTCATTTATATATTATTCTCAGTCAGGGTGATACAATGAAATTGCAAATTTTGTGGAACGCGGCCACAACACATGAGAAGTGGATTTCTTTTCTGAATCATTTTCCGAAGCAAAGTTTAAATGGTTGAACCTACATTGAAAAGAAACTACATGAAACGTTTAGAAGCTTAAATTTAAGTTTCGTTCCGTAAAATAAAAGCATTTTCGCAGCATATCCTGTTTCGTATTTTTAGAATTTAGAGCTTTTTATGTACATGTTTCTATAGTCAGCTAAGTAACACGTTTTCGAGCCGAGAAAGAAAAGAAATAAACTTGAACATAAACAGTTAAATTCAAGCGTGATGTTCAGATAACCTTATGAGAAATGACAGCAAATATGAAACTGATTTATCATCTTTTTTCTCAAAATGCACTAAGAAAACAGTAGTGACATTTACAGTTAGTATGGAATAGTGATATTGACACAGAAACTGAGATTAATGTCACGGCATCATTGTTCAGGTTCTTGATTTCCATTATATACTCAGTGTATACTTGCAAGAAAAGACTACATATAACCTACGACCAGGCGTCTTTTTTTGTTGTTGTTGTTTTCGACATAATGGAGATACGGTGTATATCATATATGGAGGGCAAGATCACAGGCTAGACTACGTTAATGCTTGGAACATACAATCCTTTGCTACAAATATTAAATTAATTAATGATTATTTCTCATGCACCTTTTAATCATGAGGGTGTAGTGTTGTGTTCAAAACAGGCAAGAAATGTTGGTATATTTAACAATAATTCCACGAGTGCACGTTGGAAATGAGATGGTCGATAGCCAACGATGCGCATAGTGCTGAATTGACAATAATCATCTCATATCCAACAAGCGTGAGTGGAATACATGATTGTTCCACAAAAGAACGAGAATTTTTCCCGACTTTATTTGCAAAAACAACCGATTTTCAGCTTGCTTTAATTTTGAGGAGACACGTACAGTTACCACATTTGGAGAGCATTGTAGAATGGCTCATGTAATTTTTCCCCATACAAATGACGTACTCAAATACGCTGACCTATACTGTCAACTGGTTATATTTATTAGCAAAGCAGACAGCGATGGTGGACTAATCTTGAATTAACGGTATAATACATCAATCCGTGATATACCTTGATAACTAAGTCTGCGATACTGAGACGCCTCGTTTAGGCTGTTACCATTTTACCCAACGAAGCGTTAGAGAGCGAATCAATCCTAAACTATCCATTGAATGTTATACCTTCAATTCGACGACATTGTGTATGTGGAAGATCAAGGAAAACTCTTTCTCTCTCCTCGATGATCGTATCCAAAGACATTCACAACAAGAAAATGTTAGTGCTATCGAAGCAAATGTAAGTTGTCTGCAGGAAAGATAAAAATACACCAACTCTGTTGCCAAAGAAAATTTACATGCTTCTATCTGCTAAAAGAAATAACAAGGGTTGCGCTACTTCACTGTGTTCTTCATACTTTGATAACTGAATGAAAAATTAAGATAATTAATCTTTAGAATTTCACTTGGCTTTAGTTGTACACATTACGAAGCAAAGAAAAGCAGCAAAAAAATTCGTTACGGTTTTTATACAATGATTAGTTGTAGCAACATATTGTTTTAAGCATTGTCAGTACTCCTTGCCTAACTTGTCGGTTTTTCCAAAAGCAGATCATTGGATTTGTGCACGAGTTCAAAAAAGCAAGAGTCTCCGTCCAGCTAAAATGGTTATAAGTTTTTATGTCCTGCTGTAGAATTTGATGATATATCTTCGCTAATAGAACAGGCGTGTTTAAAAGAAAATAGACTCCAACAATTAACAAAATGCTTCTCGAAATTCTGGCTTCTCTCTGTTTTCGGATGTTTTCGTTAATAGTTTGTTGTGGTTGCATTTGAAGACGGTGTCTCCGCAACACCCAAACGATTCCAACGTGTGTTTTTCCAGAAACCAGAAGACAGAAAAACCACACCATCAAATGCACAGCCTTCGAAATTCTGGTTACACCCACCCATTGAAGAGTTGTTAACAAAATATTCAGTACCCAGATAATAACCACATACTTTAGAACGCGTTTTGATGAGAAAAGGTTATTGTACCTTGCCAGTAAACGAACAGCAACAAATCGCTCATAACTGACGGCCGTCAATGTCATAAAAGAAACCCCACAACAAATATAGAACGCATTGGCGTATATAAGTCGAACAAAGCAAGGAGCTGACCGATGCTGGTTTTCCATGAGTCTGTAGGTAATATAACCTGGTTGAACTGCAAGGCCAACCAAGATATCTGAGAGAGCCAAACAACATATCAGAATGTTTGATGGCGTTCGGAGTCGGGCATTGTTGAAGATGGCGACGGTGATTAACACGTTTGAAATCACAGCGAAAGGAGAGGCAATGATATTGATGATAGCTGTTACGAGATTCATAAGAAAACGTTCGGAAACTTTATCAAATATAGGATCAAGAAGATGAAAACAAGACGATGGTGTTGTCGAGACTCCAGTTGACGTGTTTCCAGCCATTGCATACACTCTCTTCTGATGACAAGGAATCCGTGAGTGATTTAAAGCAAAGATGTCCTTGGAAAGATGGCAAAATTCCACATGAAAAATTTATATGAGAGTAAAAATGATATAAAATAATACAAATGTCAACATTATGAATACGATCACCTGTAGAAAAAATGAAATAGTTTAGAAAAAAAAACTGACTCTTATGACCGTAAACCGCTTTACAACAAAAGAAAATCGGTACTGAATAGCGGTGACAAAAAAGTTTCGGCATTGAAACTTAAAATATAGCAAACTATATGTTCAAGAGGCATTTACAGTCGGTTAGAATGTAACGCTTAACGTCCTTTTGTTCCTTTCGTGTAGATTGGCCCAAACGTAAAAATAGGATAAAATCTTTAATTGCATTATTGCATTATTGAAAGCACACTACCGATAGGGCAGTTTAAACGCGATCAAAATTACAGATTCGACGGGCTTAGATTTAACAAAAAGCAGCCCAGTTTAACGCACAGAAAATTTCTGCAGATGTTTCCTTTAGTTGTTTCTTTGATACATCAAGTATGTAACATGGCATATTGACTTAGTCTGACAGACAATTACAGCTATTTCTTATAAAGGTGGTTGTAAAAAGTATAATCTCGTATAGCGCTTGTCAATGTAATGATATCCATTTTGGTACGGTTTTTGGTTAGTGTTTACTTTACTGGATTACAGCGCAGTATGCCTTTGCCATGTCTACAGTGTCTGCACTGGTATCGGATATAGCTTACTATGTCGACAAGAAAAAAACTCCGACCCGATATGAACACCTGATCACACTAACTCAAAGAATGGCATATAAACCTATCACATTAGAGCTATTTGGTATAGGTAATAGTCAAAATTTCCGGAATAAATGGCTTTTCGGTTCGTCTGGAAAATCGTTCCAACGATCGGGCACCCGGCCACGTACCGGGGTCCCCGATCGGAAATTCCCTTTTGCTACCACCGATTTCGGTTTTTTTTTACCAGCGCCATGCGCACAACTCTCCACGATCCCGCGATCTTTTTGCACCATGGATTTTTAAGTTTGACTTTAAAGCAAAGAATCCCCTTTTTTCTGATTACCGATGCAACTGTCGGTATCATTTTCGCTTTTACCTGTAACATTTACTTTCAATAAAAAGTTCTTCGCAATGCAGTCGCCATCTTGGAAACGACAACATGAAGCTCTCGGAACGTCAAGAAGAGAGGTTTCTCTTTGTTTCTGTGAGATGAATAGATTTCTTACATTGTCTGCAACGCATTTCAATGCTAAAGCATTAAACTTAAACAAAACTATAGAGTCCTCCAAACTTTGAGCAAAATACAAAGACAATCCCTTTTCTGAAGTAGGGCATCCTTTAAAGGCAAATTATATCCAGGTCTCTGTTGATAAGGGGAACCAGAAGGCTGGAAAATTCTGAGAAAACAAAATTACAATTAGGCAACAACAACAGCAACAATTTATTTCACCCAAAGGAAGATATGAAAGTTATTTACAAGTTATAAGATTAATTCATTAAATAAATAAAAGGGTATTGACTTACTGGAATAACTAAAAAGATAACTTAAGATATATCTTTTTATCTTAGGAGGAATAAAGATTGGTTGATTGATTGATTGATTGATTGATTGAAAGCCAGATTCAGTTAGAAATGCTTAGCAGAAGTTCAACTAACGGGAAAGGTGATTGGACAAATTTGTATTTTTTTAGCTTGTTATTTACGAAAATAGTTTATCAAGCACATACGAGTTTAACTGAGACTTAATCAAGTCTCAGTTCAGGCGCGGATCCACACCGGTTTTCACCGTTTTATGGAAATCGGTCAGATTTTTCACAATAGATATATTAAAGAAAAAACTTTATTCCAAGTTGCAAGGCTTCATCCGAGGAGAATGGAACTGGCTAAGATCCTTTCTGAAAGACTCAGAAACCCAGGAAAGGGGACTTTAGGAAGTTGAAAACGAGAAAAATTTCTCACAGGGGACATTCCCCGCGTCCCCTAGAAGCTTAGGCCTTCGATACGCGTTTATTAGGGAACCCAGAAATTACAGAAAGTTATGAATATTACAACTAGTACAACTTTTGTCCATGATTGTACATTAACTTTAAGTTAACTAAATGTTGGAACATGTGCTGCAGACATACATTTACTAACCGTCAAAATATATATGTCGATTGTCTTGAAGATTTGCTTCTTCGAAAATATTTTCTATTTCTTCTTTTGGAATGTCCTTCAGTCTCATGAAAGCTCTTTTCATTTCTTTTACCTCAACATAACCTTTATTTTCAGGATCAAATACTCTGAATGCCATGATCAGATCGCTTTTATCACTTGGCTTTTTGAATTCCTCCGTTGTTTTAATGAAATCTGCCAGCTTTAGTGAAGTGTTGCCTGTCAAGGGAAATCACAAAGGGATTCAGATTCCAAAAAAATGATTCTAACAAGCTAAAGGAATGTTTTTATTACACTCTAATTTAATAAGTCCTGCAAAGCTGGTGACAAGATGCAAAACCTCTTTTTTCTGTCACTTTGTTCTCAAACCGATATGCAAAGTGTTAAGTATACAGGTAAAGAGAATTCATTTATCAATCACTTACCATCGTACTCCTTCTCGTTAATAATGTGCTGTATTTGGTGGTCCGTGGGATTGAGACCGATCATGCGCATTGCCTGCCTTAGTTGCTTTGTTGATATGCAGCCATTCTTATTTTGTCCAAAGAATTCAAAGACCTCAATGTATTCTAAATTAATAAACAAACTGGTTAGAGTTACAAATTAAATGAATTTGACAATGACTATAACCTCCCTTAGACCCCGTTTACATGGAGTGGGGGACCCCGGTCTATTGGGGTAAGTTTCTTTTGTTTTGTGTCCCCCAGAGCGTGAAAACAAAAGAAACTTACCCCACTAGACCGGGGTCCCCCACTCCATGTAAACAGGCCCTTAGAAAGACTAATGTTTCCTCGCGCACTAGGTACAACTAAAGCCAGGCTTATCATCAATTTGATAGAGGGACATGTGCATGAGGTTCTGAAAGAAAGATGAAACTGAATAATTTTCGCGGTCGTAAGCCTAGATTCAACGTATTCTGACATGTAATTTAACGACTGTGAATTTTGCAATCCATTTAACTATCGCAGGCTTGTCTTGCACGCAAAAATACCTTTCTTACCCGGGGATTTCCAAGATTCTCAGTAGTTGGTGAATTTTTATGTTCAAAGTAACATTGGTGTTTCGGAGCACCGACTTTTCTCATTAACTTAACTAATTGTTTTGCGTACATACAATGGACTGTTCGATTGACTTTTTTAAACATAAATTTAGGAGGGTCTACAATTTACGCTTAATAAAACGTCAAAAGAATGCGAATATTCAAAATCATCGCGAGACCATGCTTACCCTCTATTTCTTCTCGAGATAGTTTTTCCTAAGTAACAAAACAAAAAACATATTCATAAACAATACCCTATTTTAACTTTTAACAAAGTACAAAGTGAGAGGCATTTTATAAAAATTATTCATTTTTGATAATCTTTTGATGAATCTTGTAGAGAAGGAACACGCATCAACTGACAGCGGAAATACAAGACTCTGTTTTGTCGTAAGAGGGAAAACGTTTGAGTCTTGTATGAAAAAAAAACAGGACTCTTTAAAGCTGAAACATTAACATATGCATGAAAACCAACATCTGCAATCTGTTTCAACAGGATAAGTTCAAATTTGGGAATGAAATCTAGATGTGATTTATGATCGGAATTTTATTCATCGTTACATTTTAAAAACTGTAAAAATATTGCAAAATACTTACCATGAGCGCGTCCTAGAGGGGATCTGGAGATTAACAATACTCCGAAAATTTAAAGGCTTCAGCCTACAGAAATTGATTGCCACGCGTTCGCCCTTTACCTGAGAACTTACTTAAAGAGAACTTGAACGAAAGGTTGAGCCAATAAGGGAAAGAGGAATACCCACAAATACATTTTGCAAGTGTATTTTGATGAAAAATGAATGATGTTATAATACTGAGTAGGATTATTTTAATGAAACTTGGTATTGGTAGTTTTCTTTCTGTATAATGACTGAGTTTCATAATAAATGTTATTTAGCCAGGGTTACCTCTTCAGCAGAAAATGATGATATCAAAGGGGGCCCTGGAAAATATATATATAAACACATGCAAATAAATGTGTTTGAATTAGTCCGACTCCAGAAATCTGTATTATATATACACATGTATATATATATATATATAACAAACCTAACTTAAAGTAACTAAAATGCATTAAAAGTTAAAAAGGCACCAATATTTAAAATTACTTTAAAAAGCTAAAATACAACAATTAAAATACGCTTAAAAGCTAAACTGATTAAAACTTAACAAGCAACTTAAAAGCTTTTGATACGAGTTTTTAAAATCACAACTGACTTAAAATCCTTCATTTCACTTAAAACTCTCTTCTAGGTTTTTCAATTTTGGTGTTAAAAAAGGAAAATAAGCTTTATGGGAAATTGTTGTGGTTACCTTACCAGCCACGCCTAACATGATCAATACATAGCCATAAAATTAATAGTATGAAATGAATAATTAATGCTGTTAGTCAAGTTATTTTCGACAAAATTTAGTAAACTCCTTTCCATTCAATATCAGTGCACAGTTGTTTAGAAAACAGATAATCTATCCAACTGGGAATGAGGAATGGTAAATACATATCATCAATTTTTTATCGTATCGCTTGCGCATGTGCACTATTCAAGACGTTGGCCTAAGTTCAAGTATTGGTTCATTAGCCAATCACGTTAAAGCAAACAAACGCGCTTTCAGTTTTCATTTTAACGTCGTACTATTAGCAGTGGTTACTCTGCCTGAGTGCCCGGGAATAAATCGAAACGTTAGCCTATTATCTACTGAAATCGTTTCCCAATGGTAAGTACAGACTTTAAAGAGCTCCTTTAACCGGTCTGTTAAATTTTACATATACGAATATAACTAAAACGCAGATTAACAAAAGAGTCATCCAGTATTTTGTAACGTTCTCTCTACACTCTTTGGAAGTCAGGAAGAATGTTTGAAGAAGTATAGTTAGGAACACAAACACGAAATAATCTACCAATGTTAATTTGTGTAGACAAGTTTTATTTAATACTCACTACAGAAAAAGGATGTCTAGTATGATACAGTTTGAATTTTGACACATAAAAAAGTCATCATTTGAAACCATTAACCTTCTTGGCTGTATGTCGTTTCAAACATATTTCGCTTTAAGCTTTCTTTTTACGCTTCGTTATTGCTCCTCGGAGTTTAGTACTCATTAAATAATTCTAATTCTCTCTTTCATTTTCAACGTTGGCGTAGTTTATATATAAACAAAAGCCCGCCGCCACCTGCTAAAAGCTTAGCAAGTCTTCAGATTTGTGCTATCATTCACGAACTTCTAAAGACGCAACCAAGCGCACAATCGATTTATATTGAAATGCCCTGAGATTAAAGTTTTGAAACGTATTTTTTGCGGTGATAATTTATACAATGATTGAAAATTCTCATGGCGATCTCCCAGATGAAATTGAGATGTAACCACGAAGTCACTCGGCATTTTACCTGCTCATAATCACTCAAACGATTTTTAATAATTGATCACCTTAACAGGTCCTTAAATTATTGAAGTTTATATTACTCTGGAATATAAACACCTCTGAACGATTAACGACAGTTGAACAGGAATTCTAAACCTGAAGCTATGCTATGGCTGAAATACTTGTTCTGTAGATATATCAGGGGTGTCCACTGGAGGGAAAGTGATGATTTTATGTGTTACTGACTTTGTGACATTGAAATCGTGAAATGCATCGGCGAGTAAAATGTTAGAAGTTGAATGCCGCGTTTTATTTTTTGGTAGCGTCATTCGCTCTTTTTCAATTCTCTATTAATTATTAGTAATACAGTAACTGAACTAAGTGAGACGGTAATTGAGAAAAAAGAAACATGTGAAGGATAGGTGGTACAACACAGGAAAGTTCAACCTAAGACTTAAAGGCAAGTCAGAAATAAGGCGTTGCCACAGGCAACGCAACTGTGAAGAAAGTATAGAATTGAGATTAAGGGAAACTGCCTGCTGTGCTTATATCAAACTTATTCACCTTAAGAATTTGGAATAAAAGCTAATTGAAATTACTCATGAGAAAGGGAATTGTACTACAGTGGCATTGTCCAACACGTAAAAGCAAGGAAACTAGCTTATTTGTGAAAATAGTGATGATGAGCACGTTCCTATCTTTAATTATAGTAACTAAAGTCATTCTTACCCTTGGCTGTATAATCAGATTTTTACAAGTGGTAAAACGTTGAAGAAAATTTGCCACAAAATTTGGGAATTCCAAGGAAACCTTAGTGGGGTTGGGAGATCGTGTCTTGCTGTGAATAAGTAAACAACTTTAGGTTCATTTTTGACTTTTATTTATATATTCATTTACGTTTATTATTATTATTATTATTATTATTATTATTTTGTTTTTCGAATGTCAACAAATCATAAAACACCTGGGAAACTTCTCATTACAAGTGTTCCTATTAAATTTTTCTTCAACTCAAGGTTTCCCACAGAGGACGAAAGACTAAGAGAGAATTGACTTGCAATGAACGGCTATTAAGATATTTGGAAGATTTCCATGACAAACGAACAGTTGTCATTTTTTAAATGTATCTAGCAGTCTTCTGCCCCTGAACGCGGATGGTCAGAATTGTAAATAGTTTCTTTTTTCATTATTATTGCTACAGGAGGGGCTATCTGATGAGCAAATTGAAGGTTAGTTTATATGATGTAATATAAATAACAATTATTCCATGAGTGCGCTTTGGATATGAGATGGTAGTAGCCAACGAGGCGCGAAGCGCCAAGTTGGCTATTATTTAAGCAATATACCACACTTTCTATGGCTTTACCGGCGTGATAATCCACGCGGGATGTTGGGAGAACACTTCAAAAGTTTGTAATTTTTGCGATTTACAAGCTTTTCGAGTGTTTTCGCAACGTCTCAAGTAAGTTATCACGCCGGTAAACCCATAGAAAGTGTGGTCTATTGCTTTTATGAGTTTACCGGCACAGTAAACCATAGGCTTTTAACCAATCAGAACGCGCGTACTATCTCAGTTAAGTTTATAAAATCTCATATCCAACATGCGCGAGTGGAATAATTGTTGTATTAAAAACGCCCGCAAAATATCGAGAATTCTTCCCGACTTTATCCGTAAAAACAACCGATTTTCAGCTTGTTTTTAATTTTGAGCACACGCGTACCGAGAGATTTTACTTAACCCGTGAAATACATTTGGGTAGTAGAATAGTACGCGCAACTATGCACTAATTCTATTGTCTTCTTCTGTTCACTAGTAGCTAATTTGCACCAGTCGTTATTCTCTGTTTCACGGGTCAAGTAAAATCACTCTACCATATTTGGAGAGCAAGGTATAATGGCTCATATACCATGATGGCTAAGCCAATCAGAGCACTAGAATTGCATGATACAGTGATTTAGTTTTTAATGATATATAGTATAATACAATATAATATAATGTCTTATAATATAAAATCTTGCTAAATTGACTAATACAACGTAAATTTCACAAGAACCTGGAAAAATATAAGACGGTGAATCAACAACGTTAACTTTATTTTTCCTTCAGAATATCGTGCTGCTTTCTACTTGTTCGATCGCGATAGCAATGGGTTCATTACAACAAAGGAACTGGGCTCCATTATGAGGACGTTAGGTTTTAACCCAAACGAAGAAGACCTACAACAGATGATTTTCACGGTCGATTACGATGGTAGGTATAATATCTTCGGTTACTTGACAGGAAGTGAATAAACACTCGATCTTGTTACAGTCTGTGCATACGTACAATCTTTTAATACCTCAGAGTAAGTATGTGGAACGATACACATACGGCATTTTGTAGGTATAAAACCCTTCAAAATAGCTCTTTGTCTAATCACAGGAGACGGAAAACTAAATTTTGAAGAATACATCAATCTGATGGAGCAACAGAAGACGCCCGACGAAAGAGAAGAAGACATTATACAAGCTTTTCGAGTTTTTGATTCTGATAACAAAGGATACATAGAATCAGCTGATTTAAGAGAATTGTTGGAAAATATGGATTGGAAAGTTCGTGAAGAGGACTTGAAAGATTTGATAACAAAGGCTAACCTAGACCGAGACAGAAGAGTCAGCTTTGAAGGTAGGGTGAAAAGCGGGGAAAGCCTGCTATCATTAGAAAAGGTTATTGAGCTCATTACAGCTTGCACGAAATTTGACCTACTTGTTGTGCATTAAAATCTTTTGGAAATTTTGTACAGATAAACTATTTTTTGGAACATTTGTGGTTTGTGTAGACGTTGTGAGACCCGAGATAAGCATAAGCAAGTCTTGCATATATTTACTCGGTTTTTAAACCTGGCGTATATTATTGAAACGTAAAGCGGTATGACCTTGCTCGGTTAATTTTCAGGCTGCTTCCCTGTGTTAGTGTAACGTGTCTGTAATACCTTTAATGCCCATTTTGAAGTTACTGTCTGGTAAAGGGTCCCACCTAGGCAGTCACATAAGTTATGGTGAATGGTCTCGATATAGGATTATTCTATGGACTGCTAAGTAATGACTACTTTTCACGCTAACGCTTATCATTAAATCTGGAATTGTAATGGTAGTTGAAGTTAGACTCATCTCTAAACTGCTTTTCTTTTATAGAGTTTGCAATGCTTGTGGATCCAGAAGGGCTGCCACCACCTCAGGATGATGACAATAACAATGAAGGAGATGATTTATAAAGTACATCAGTGAGATGATATAAATATGCATGATATCGTCTTCAGTAACGTTACCTTGCTCATTAAATGATTCATTATCTTTGTTATCACAAACGTTTTATAGACATCAGGTCATATAACAATATATCGAGAGAAAAAGCAGAAAGGTTTACTACTTGATTTCATATTAATGTAAATACTTCGGCCTGGAATAACCAAGAGCAATTTTATAGAAACATTGTAAATATATTTTTACTTTTTCTTGGTCAAAGAAGAGACAAGTTCACAGCTAGTGGAACATTTTTCAACAAAAAAATTTAGCAAATAATTGATCATAATTTCGATCAGTTTCGTTCAGGCTAAAACGTGTAGCTGAAGTAACTAACTCGTAACTTGGCAAAAATATCTAAGCCAGTGCAATTTTCTCTGCTGAATTCAAAGGCCATTACCTATCTGCATAACAATATTTTGGCCATTGTTCAGTTTTTAGGAAAATTCCAGTTAATGTTAAATATTGGACAGGTACATTGCCGGTCGACATACCGATAATAACACACTGTATCGACACTGTATGAAAAAGCGCTGAACTCATAGTAAGTTTAAATATGGTCCAGGGAATTCAACTCACTGCCAATTCAGTTGTCTCTTAGAACCATTTCAAGCCGTAATTTTTACATCCGTTAAGTCTTCTTTCGTACAAAGAAGAACATTTAAAATATACAGCCCAGTCACTCGACCCAAGTTGAATAGAAATTGTCTAAGCTTGTGCTTTACCTGACACAAGCCAAAAACAACTAATTACTAAAATTTAATTATGTTTTAAGAGGTTAATTGTAAATTTCTAGTTAAAATGACGAAAAATAATTTTGCTTTCATTCCTATCGTTAATCTTCAATTCAAGTGAGAACATCTGATGTAGAATTCCAATATGCCCTTTTAATGACGTTTTTTAGGCGCTCAAAAATCTTATTATATGTCATTTCTTTAATAATAATAATAATAATAATAATAATAATAATAACAATAATAACACTTTATTTAAAGAGGGTAGCATGGAATAGCATGGAATAGTTATAGAAACTAGTAAACTTTTAGCAAGACTATTTCTAGGTTTATTTTGTCGAAAAAAAGAACAAAGAAAAAATTTTGTATGTTTGACAAAAAATATGGGTTATCCCCTGACGCAAATCCCCAAAATAGCGACTTTTCAAAATCGATATCTCCATAGTCTAAAAAGCCTTTCTATTAAACTAGAACATCACCAAAAACTATTTCAAAGTTTATTTTTTCGAAAAATAAATAAAGAAAAAATTTCATACTTTTGAAAAAAATCATGGGTTAACCCCTTTACAAAAAGCCCCAAAATGGCGAAATTTAAAACTCGAAATCTCTATAGTAAAAAAGACCTTTCTATTAAACTATAATATCACCGGAAACTATTTCTATTTTCATTTTGTCGGGAAATAAAAAAAAGAAAAAATTTCGTATTTTTGACAAAAATCATGGGTTAATCCCTTTACAAAAATGCCAAAAATGGCGACTTTTGAAATCGGTATCTCTAAACTTTAAAAAACCTTTTTATTAAACTAGAACATCACCAAAAACTTTTTCAAGGTTGATTTTGTAGAAAAATGAAGAAAGAAAAAATTTCATATTTTTGACAAAAATCATGGGTTAACCCCTTAACAAAAATCCAAAAATGGCGACTTTTAAAAACCGATATGTCTATAGTCAATAAAGCCTTTCTATTCAACTAAAATTCATTTTATCGAGAAATAAAAAAAAGAAAAAATCTCGTATTTTTAACAAAAATTATAGGTTAACCCCATAACAAAAATGCCAAAAATGGCGACTTTTGAAATCGATATCTATAATGTCAAAAAAGCCTTTCTATTAAACTAGATCATTACCAAAAGGTGTTTCTAGGTTCATTTTCTCGAAAAAGGAAGAAAGAAAAAATTTCATACTTTTGACTAAAATCATGGGTTAACCCCTTTACAAAAAGCCTGGAAAAGGCAAATTTTGAAAATGGATATGTCTATAGTAAAAAAGCGTTTTTATGAAACTAGAATATAAGCAGAAACTATTTCTATTTTCATTTTGTCGAGAAAAAAAAATAAAAAAAATTGGTATTTTTGACAAAATCATGGGTTAACCCCTTTACGAAGATCCCAAAAATGGCGACTTTTGAAATCGGTATCTCTAAAGAAGAAATCCTTTTTATGAAAATAGAACATCACCGAAAGCGTTTTCAGGGTTTATTTTGTCGAAAAATGAAGAAAGAAAAAATATCATATTTTTGACAAAAATCATGGGTTAACCCTTCTACGAAGATGCCAAACATAGCGACTTTTGAAATCGGTATCTTTAAAGTTTAAAAATCCTTTTTATTAAACTAGAACATCAAAAAAGTTTTTAAGAATAAATTTTGTCGAAAAATGAAGAAAGAAAAAATTTCAATATCATGGGTTAACCCCTTTACAAAAATACCAAAAATGGCGACTTTTAAAATCGATGTCTATAATGTCAAAAAAGCCTTTCTATTAAACTAGAACACAACCAAAAAGCGTTTCTAGGTTCATTTTCACGAAAAATAAATAAAGAAAAAAATTCATATTTTAGACAAAAATCATGGGTTAACCCCTTTAGAAAAATTCAAAAATGGCGACTTTTAAATATCGATATCTCTATAGTCAATAAAGCCTTTCTATTCAACTAGAATATCACCAGAAACTATTTCTATTTTCATTTTGTCGACAAATAAAAAAAAGCAAAAAAATTTCGTATTTTTAACAAAAGTCATGAGTTAACCCCTTTACAAAAATGCCTAAAAAGGCGACTTTTAAAATCGATGACTTTAATGTCAAAAAAGTCTTTCTATTAAACTAGAACATCACCAAAAGGTGTTTCTAGGTTCATATTCTGGAAAACAAAAGAAAGAAAAAATTTCGACTTTTTGACAAAAATCATGGGTTAACCCCTCCACGAAGATCCCAAAAATGGCGACTTTTGAAATTGGAATCTCTAAAGTTTAGAAATCCTTTTTATTAAACTAGAACATCAAAAAAGTTTTCAAGGTTTATTTTGTCGAAAAATGAAGAAAGAAAAAATTTCAATATCATGGGTTAACCCCTTTACAAAAATACAAAAAATGGCAACTTTAAAAATCGATATCTATAATGTCAAAAGAGACTTTCTATTAAACTAGAACATCAACCAAAAGTGTTTTTAGGTTCATTTTCACGAAAAAAAAAGAACGAAAAAAAAATCATATTTTAGACAAAAATAATGGGTTAACCCCTTAAGAAAAACCCAAAAATGGCGACTTTTAAAAATCAATATCTCTATAGTCAATAAAGCCTTTCTATTCAAAAACGCCTTTCTAGGCTATAAAAACAAGAAGTTCAAAAAGTCGAAAAATTGACATTTTTCCCAAGATGTTAACCCATCGTTTTGGTCCAAAAATGGTCATTTTTCCAACTTTTTTTTTAGCCAATTAAGACCACGAAAATGTTTTTTAGGATATTCTAGAACGAAAAAACGCCTTTCCACGCTATAAAAATAAAAAGTCAAAAAAACCGAAAAATTGGCATTTTTCCAAAGGGGTTAACCCATGGTTTTCGTCGAAAAATGGCCATTTTTCCAACTTTTTCTTTTTAAGCAATTTAGGCCAGAAAAATGTCTTTAACGATATTCTAGAAAGAAAAAAAAGCCTTTCTAGGCTATAAAAACAAGAAATTCAAAAAGTCGAAAAATTAACATTTTTCCCAAGGGGTTAACCCATGGTTTTGGTCCAAAACTGACCATTTTTCAAACTTTTTTTTTTTAAGCAATTTAGAAAAGGAAAATGTGTTTTACGATATTCTAGAACGAAAAAACGCTTTTCTACGCTATAAAAAGAAAGAGTCCAAAAAGTCAAAAAATTGGAATTTTTCCAAAGGGGTTAAGCCATGGTTTTGGTCGAGAAATAGCAATTTTTTCACCTTTTTCTTTGTAAGCAATTTAGGCCAAGAAAATGTCTTTAACGATATTCTAAAAAGAAAAAAGGCCTTTCTAGACTATAAAAAAAGAAGTTCAAAAAGTAGAAAAATTGACATTTTTTCCAAGGGGTTAACCCATGGTTTTGGGCCAAGACTGGCCATTATTCCAACTTTTTTTTTTAAGCAATTTAGAAAAGGAAAATGTCTTTCACAATATTCTAGAACGAAAAAACGCCTTTTTACGCTATAAAAAGAAAAAAGTTCAAAAACTCGAAAAATTGCCATTTTTCCCAAGGGGCTAACCCATGGTTTTGGTCCAAAGATGGTCATTTTTGCAACATTTTTTTTTTGGCAATTTAGAAAAGGAAAATGTGTTTCACGATATTCTAGAACGAAAAAACGCCTTTCTACGCTAAAAAAAGAAGAAGTTCATAAAGTCGAAAAATTGACATTTTTGCCAAGGGGTTAACAAATGGTTTTGGTTCAAAAATAGCCATTCTTGGTTCAAAAATAGCCTTTTTTGGTTCTAAAGTAGCCATTTTTTTCCAAGGTTTCTTTTTAGGCAATTTAAACCAGGAAAATGTCTTTTACGATATTCTAGAACGAGTAAACGCCTTTCTATGCTATCAAAACAAAAAGTTCAAAAAACTGAAAAATTGGCATTTTTCCAAAGGGTTTAACCCATGGTTTTTGTCAAAAAATAACCATTTCTTCCAATTTTTTCTTTTTATGCAATTTTTTCCAGGAAAATGTCTTTAACGATATTCTAGAAAGAAAAAACGCCTTTCTAGGCTTTAAAACATAAAGTTCAAAAAGTCCAAAGATTGACATTTTTCCCAAAGGGTTAACCATTGGTTTTGGTCCAAAAATGGCCATTTTTCCAACTTTTTTTTAAAAATTTGGAAAATTTTTCGATATTCTAGGGAAAAAACCCATGGTTTTGTTCAAAAAGTCGAAAAATTAACCAAAGGGTTAACCCATGGTTTTGGTCCAAAATGGCCATTTTTTTTTTATTTTTTAAACAATTTAAAAAGGAAAATG